TAAGACAACCACCGTCCACAACCGAAGGCGTCACGCCAATGCCTCCGTCCTTCAACCGTAGACGCTTTTCGACAATGGAGAGGAGCTCCAGAATCACCAATGGTGATGGCGGAAACGTAATGGACCTTGCTTTCGTAGGGATTACGGTTGGGGGACAAGGGAGAGGGGAGAGGGAACTCAGAAAAGGGGACCTTGCTTTCGTAGGGATTTTCAGAGAATGGAAGAGGGAAATCCCAAATTCAGATTTCATTAAGTCAATGCCTATACCGACGGGCGAAAGCCTTCGATAAATTTGTTGCCCAATACCGAAGGGCTAAAGCCTTCGGTAAACACCAGCCCAATACCGAAGGGCAAAATCCTTCGATATGTGCTAATTACCGACGGTCCAGAAGGCCTTCGGTAATAGTCCTTCGGTAAACAGTGCATTTATGGTAGTGTAACTTCTAAAAAACAAATTCACTAATTCTTTATGTTTTTAAGAATACGTTTTTTTTTTCAAATCTTATGAATTTATGGAGCTACTAGAAATCTTTTCTTTTTTTTAATAATGTAAATTCATTAAAATCTAAACTATGAAACTGTAATCATAAAAATATTTTAAGAAAACATTTCTACACTGCTTTTAAAAAGCAAAAGATTTTTCACATCAAAATAGTTTATTAATTCGCTCCTCTTTTTTTTCTTTTTCAAAAGTTAGTCATTTTAATCCAACCATCAAAATGAAAACATTGACTTGACTTACACACGACACACTTTAATTTGTGTTATTTAAATTATTCTGTCGAATTTAATTTTGTCATAAAAATCAATGTTACAAATGTGTGAAAGTGAATGCTAAAGAATGTTTAATCACCTTTAAATAAACATATAGTTTTAGAAATATATCCCTTAACTTAAATATATAAACTAATTTTAAACAATTAAACAAACTAAATATATCTATTTTAAAATAGAGCTACCAAATACTTTTAAATTTAAAAAACAAACTAAAATTAAATAGTATGACTTTAAATAATAAAAGTGATTTAAACATTATTAGTGGTAATGAGCATATTTTTAAATAAAATTTTTTAAAAGGTTTATAGTGTACGTGGTCGAAGACCTTTCGGTCCTATCAACTAAGAATTAGAAATGATTGATTAACCAAACACATACATGATATCTCATATTAAATACCAGATACTAAATATTTTGTGTCCAGTAAATGTTACATGCTAATTATTGAATACTTTGTAAAAGTTAAACTGTTTATCGACTGAGGACGGCACCCCAAGAACTAAGCATAATATGTTTTATAAAAAATGTTGATGACTAGATATCGAGTATCGTGTTCCTTAACCAAAGACTAAGTATCATCCACCGATGGATGCACTTCTCACTAGAGTCAATGCCAACCACTATAAATTATTTCTATTTGTAGAAGACATCAATATACCATATAACTTAGCCAAAATTGCTACACATTAATACAGGTAAAATAATCATTGAATCAATGGATCCATAATCAATGTCTAGGTAAGTGTTTATGATTAGTAAAATACTTTGATCAGAATCTCTAATTTTGAGACTTAAATGTTAAAGAATATTTTACTGAGGAATCTTATATGAAAAAAATTGCGAGATGAAAGGAAACTCTTTAGATAATGTATGGACTATATTTATAATAATAATAAATAATAATTTATTATTGAGAGACACACTAATTCGAGTAGAAAGATCGTAAAACCAAAGAAAAAGTTTAGTTGTTTGGTTTGTCGTGTCTTGAAAAGCAAAAGGTGTGTATGGCACATATGCCAAGGAACACATGAAGGTTTAAGGGTAGAAAATAAATAAAACAAAAAATGAGGCCCTATATATGCATTATATTGGAAGTGTGTTTAACACGCAATTCAGAAAAAAATGGGCAGATCCATTTTTCTTCTTCACCTTATGCTTTCCTCATTTCTCCTTTTTACTTTCTTCCTGGAAGCTGTTCCTGGCAGCAGAAAGGCAAAATTATTTTGCTAACTATTCCTTTGTTTAACAATAATTTGCAGCATGAAATTATGGGATGCTACTGAATTTGCTTCTTCATCATCTCTCATATTTCACCAATCTCTGATTTTGTTTTCAGTTATATATTGTATATTTGGGAGCTCATTCTCATGGTGCCTACCCCACTTCCGTTGATCTCCAAATTGCTACCGATTCTCATTATAATTTATTGGCTTCAGTCCTGGGGAGGTATAAAAATCATATTTTAACGTGTCATCTTAGATGTTAATTTTCATTACCCACTTATATATATATATATATATATATATATATATATGTGAACTTTTTTCACCAATATAATCAATAATATTTATAACTACAAAAAAAAGTTGGAGATAACTATTTTAAATAATTGATTTTATATGATACTTTCTTTAACATGTCCGCACGTACTCATTTTACATTTGAAGCATCTACACTATGTACTTCAGAAGTTAAATCTTTTTTTAATTTTCAGAATAATTATAAATATAAGATTAAAGTATAATATTGTAAAGTAATTTCATAAGAAAGAGTTATATTTAAAATTTACGATTAAATTTTAAAAAGAAAAAAAAGAAAAACAAATACCCTTTTAAAACACAAATACTCATTCAGCACGTACTAAAAAATAGTTTTCCGTGATACTGTAAGTGACAGTATGTTAGGCTTTTTGAGGTGTCTTTCATTCTTTGAATGTTAATTAGAGTATTAATACTTAAATAAAAACCATTTTGTGGGAGTTTGAAACGAGCTTACTATAATTCTTTAAATTTTGTAAAATCTCACAAAATATAAAAATTTAGAGTAGTGTTAAAATCAAAACAGATTAAAACTTCATGCAACTTACTAAATTCTGTCTGCACTAAAAAAAAATATTAAAAAACATTATCTGTGAGTTTTTTTTTTTATTTGTTGAATTAGTTAATATTATCTAATCATTATGGATATCGCTACTTTCAATATCTTTTATCTTCTGTATCTCTTAGATCTCTGTTTCTATCTCCTGAATTTCTCTTTTCACAAAACCACTATGGCTATATATATGTCTCAGGTTGCTAAATGCATACACAGTAAACAAACCAAGAATCACAAAAGGTTATTAAGTCTAGAACACTGGTATTTTGACAATATAATTTTTTTACTACACTATTTCTCACTACTATGATCATTGATTCAAGTAAAAGTTGTCGAATAATAGTCCAATGTGTCAAATAATTTATTTTCTTTTAAGTCTACGAGATAAAGAAATGAACATATAATAGTAGTAGGATGGATACATGACGTGTAATTAATGGTTTGACAGTGAAGAGAAAGCGAAAGAAGCAGTTATTTACTCATACAACAAACACATAAATGGGTTTGCAGCAATGCTGGAAGAGGAAGAAGCAGCACATATCGGCAGTGAGCATGCTAGCTTCCATTCATTACCTATTCTTTTTAATTTATGTTTTGTTTGAAATTAGTTAATGAGAAAGTGTTTGGAATGAGGCAGAAAAGCCGAACGTGGTGTCAGTGTTCTTGAGCAATAAACATAAACTGCACACTACCCGTTCATGGGAATTTCTTGGACTACACAGAAATGGTAAGAACTCCGCATGGCAAAAGGGAAACTTTGGTGAAAATACAATAATCGCAAACATCGACACTGGTAATTAAGCTTTATTATTTATTATGTGCTTGAGAATCTGTGTTCATTCTTTAATTCTGAATTTGGCGTTGGATAGGTGTTTGGCCAGAGTCAGAGAGCTTCAGTGATGAAGAATATGGTCCCGTTCCCTCCAAATGGCGTGGTGGTAATGTCTGTCAAATTAACAAATTTTTAAGCAACAAGACAAATCTATGCAACAGGTTTTTGTTTTTTGTTTTCCTTCAATATATATTTACAAGTTCTGAAATAGCTAGTAAGGACTAACTTGAGAAAGAAATGGCAATAATTGTACAAGAAATAAGACATTAATTTCGTGGGACCTATTACAGTTTGTTTCTATCCTTGGAAGACATAATTCAATTTTCTAATTTTGTTTTTTTTATGTTTGAGTCGTTTCGGACTTGGCTACCACTACCCAAGACCTACTTTAATAATTTTTTTTCATTAACTAAAAGAATATATTTAATATAAAAACACTTGTAATGTTTCAATCTACATAATCTATATAAAAACGTTTGACGAAAAATGTTGAAAACTTCTAATTATTTCAATTTTACAAAATTAAAAACTCAATTAAAACGTCACAAAAAAGAAAGAGATGTATTTAAGATTTTGAACAAAAAATTAAGACTACAGATACATTAAACTTTTTTTTTATTGACAAAAAGAATATATTTAATATAAAAACACTTGTAATGTTTCAATCTACGTAATCATATATATATATATATATATATATATATAT